TTAGCAGAGCTAGGGTTTTGGAAACACCAGCTTCTTTGTCACTTACAATGTAACTTAGCTTATCAAGGTCACGAGATGTAACCTTTATAGGGTGTGAGCTTTTAGGTGTATGTGAATTCTCTATTGAAAAAGGTTTATATAGTGAGATTGTTTTAGAGTGTGGAGGCAGAAAGAGGCCACTTCCTTTTCGTTTTAAGAGCATCCACAATCATGCTTCTTATTGTTTAGTTAAAATTTAGCTAAAAACACTAGAAAGCTATTTTAGGAGCTCATTATAATTTCAACTTTAGCCATGCTCCCTAGTTTAGGGAATCATAAATGATTTATTTATTTTTTTAGTTTAGCATAAATGTCTTCATATAAAATAATAACAATAAATAATTAGCATTACATAAATACTTAAAATAGTATTAAAGTAATGAAGCATTTAATTATAGGGAGCCACTAGAAGTTCTTTCTCTCTCCTCATATTTAGGAGCTCCTCGAGGTCTCCCTATTTTAGAAGTTGGATAGAGAGCATGGTTGGAGGTGGATTTTCTCTCTTCCTCCCTAAAATTTATCTAAGGAGGTGTTTAGAGATTCCATTGTGGATGCTCTAATTTTGCTACTTTCATAATGGATCATCGCCATATCATCAGTCGAGGGGTAGCCTAGTTTGAAGTGAACCTTGTAAAATCCTTGCATTGTTTACTTGTTGTTTTATGTATCAACTTTTTTATTGGTTGTTTGTGCGATCTTAGGCTAGGAATTGTTTGAAATTCCTAATAATTGGTATTAGAGTGAAAGATGATATGAACCCTCAACTGCTCATAATATGCACGAGTACTAGTTGGAGAATCATCATAAGAGGTTTGGTCCTCTGATTCGGTAATTCTTCAGAGATAATCCTAGTGAAGAGGATTGTTTAGCTCTCATGTTTTCTCTTGCATCTATGTTATTGTCATTGGTACAACCTGTGCTATATCGGTGGAGGCAGTGGTGGATACATGAATTTTCTTTTATGGGGGCAAGAAAACACTACTGCAAAGCCATTAATAATGAAGATCAGTCGACTCTTTAATGCAAGAAAAAAAAACATATTCATGCAAATTAGTAACACAACACATTCTACCTAGTTTTTCTATTGACAGCACAAAAAAGAGAATGAGAAGAGTGAGTCCAGAGAACAAGAAGAATAACAAAAGTAGAGGAGTAGAGCAGGTTGCCCCCTTGCACCCATCCTTAGTCTTCTTTAAGGCATTTTATCAAACAACTGGTCCTTATTAAATACAAAACTTCATAAAAAAAATTGGCACATTCATAGGTAAATAATATAATTGAGTGAGGGCAAGTACCGTCATTGGACCCTTAATGGATTCGCTAATGGGCGGAGGTTGGGTTTCATTTCCCCTATTTTCCCATGTGTCAGGCAACCATTTCTACTGGTCTGTTAGGATGCCTAAGCTGCATACATCACTGTACTTCCACTTGACACATATTGTCATGATAAACGGCCCGTCTCGCCGCCGTGACCTTCTCTTAAATTCTCAAAACTTCTGTCGCTCCACCCCCGCATGGGTAGAAAACCCATCAATGTCTTGGGTGTGCTGCTCATGCTTGGACTTGCAAAACATGGGAAATTATTTGATAAATAATTTCTCATTTCTAAGACCCATTTCCCATGAACCAAACGCACCCTTATAAATTGACAAACACAACCAGAAAGTTATGAATCATTACACCATTACCCTATTTGTTCATTTAAATATAAACTCAACCATTGATATTGTACCTAGCACTCAAAGGGCCCCTTGTTTACTTACATTGTCGCCAAATTGATATCACGTGGATTTTTTTTGATAAAAATGCGATATAATTTCATTATATCAATATGAATAACAGTACAAAGAACACATGTTATAAAGGGAGCCATCCAAATAATTAGGGTAGGCATGGGTTGGTTTTAGTCCCAGTCCATAACTCAACCCGATATATAGTGGTTTATGATTTCTTGAACCCAAGACCCGCTCATTTTTAGGCCAACCCAGCCTACTATGATCGAGTTAGGCAGTTTGGTTGAGTTGACCAGAAATTGTGCCCACCCCTACCAATAACAATATGGTAGGACATTGGTAAAACTTCCCCAATGACCTGAGCTAGTCGAAAAGCTGGAACGATTTAGAGACAATCACTCTAAAAAAAACTAGCCGCTAACCGACATGACTCTCCTAGAGAGACTAAAAACACCCAGCAAACTCAAAAAACTCATAGAGTTTCTGAACTTTATTGAACAAACTAAACCAAAATAAAAAAAAACTAAAACAATGTTGGCAAAAGGAAAAACCACTTGCCGCTAATCTTCCTCAGGACACGACATAAAAAGGGTAACCTAATTACTCTATGGCCTCAACGCACCAATGAGCAGTGGATCTACCATGAATAAGCTGCAACATCTCAAAGAGCAGCCTCGCAAGATGAGGCACAACCAAAGCCAACTCAGATATGAGACGAAAGATCTACCAAAATAAGAGTAGATCGACAAAAGTCCATCAAAAGCCAAACAACACCGAAGGCAAAAGCTTGGCTTCCGGAGAAAATTGTTAAGTTGTTTTATGAGGTTATAAGTGGAGGGTAGTCCGCGTGGATTTAAAAAAGCCACATAAACAACATAATATAATCAGAGTTACGTCGTGTCAACCATAGAAACTATAATATATACATATGTGTGGCCTCCACATTCCACACCGCCCAGTCCGATGTGCACATACATATAATAATTCTTCTCAAGTAAGAGGACCATGGAATCTCCAACGTTGAGGGCGCACAGTTACCAAATTGCCCTCGCATTTTCATGAAGTTAGGTCCCTGCGTGACTATGAATGTGAGATTTCAGGAAGGGTGATATGGTGATTATGATGGGTTCGTGTCATGGTTTCAATGGACAAGATAAAGTGGGGAACAAAAATAAAACAAAAACAAAAACAAAAAGGCTTTTGTTTAATCTCCGAAATTGATGATGTTTGACTAGTGGGAAATCACGAAAATGCCCACTAGCAGTGAATTAATAATGCTTTTGACGAAATTGCAGGAAAAACGCGGTTTACCAAGTCCACAAAAGAAGATGAGACTCTCTCACTAGTAGTAAATGAAAAAGTTTGAAAAAAGCCTCCCCCACTCAATTAATTCTTAACTTTAAAAATCTGTTGCGGATGATGATGGAATTTAATTAGGCATTTAATGATGTATGTAGTAGCTACCATCATGTTCCACATAAATAAAATAAAATAAAATAAAATAAAATAAAATAAATTTATTTTTGTTGCATCTCTCCTCGTTAAGGGGCTACATAAAAAGTCAATGGAGTTTTTCCGATCCCAAACACACACAAAAATAGTCAATGGAGTTTATTTAAAGATATGCAAGTAGAAGAGGAGCAAAGGTACATACATTATTACATGAGAGCACAATTCAAAATTCGAAAATAAAAAATCTACACAATAATGGTACTATGTCATCATAAAGATTTGATATGATTAGCCATTCCAACAGAAATGTTTTTAGCAATGCTTTTTATATTATAGTAGAATTTACTCGATGTGGGGAGGGGGAAAATTCACACACTGGTATTGTGGTGGGGACTTGGAACTTAGGATTACTTTGGAGCACATCAAAGACCTGGGCTAATCCAACTAACACCCCATTGGTCATGTGTAGTTCATTGAACATTACTAAATTTTTCCTTGAAACTAAAATGAAAATTCTCAATTTTAATACACTTCATATTGTAACAAAAGGAAAATTATATAATTTCGTTTAATTATCATATATAGAAATAAATTTTCTTTGTATGGTTAGATCCACAAGGTTGGTATGAAATGATGTACTATGACAATTCAATTGCATTTGTTTTTCTTCTCACAATTCACTCTTGTATGTGTATGTGAAGAAATGGACATGGAAAGAAGTAAACAGTAATCTTCTGAAATTTGATATTAAATGTCAATTCAAAATCCTAATTAATGACATGAATACAACATATTCTCTTTTCTCTCGAAACCACGTGGTAATATGACGGTCACACCTAAAAATTTATCATCTACAATGATCAACACCTTTCCCCCTAAACCTCAAGGCCTCAACTACTTCATTTCATTACATCATATCCTCTCTCTCTCTCTCAAGGCTTTAAGTACAAAAAGAAAAGGCTACTACTTCATGGCTATATATATGACTAGTGTTCCAAGTGGACCGCTTTCATGAATCCCATTACACAGAGACAGAGCGACCATTCCTCCATTAATAGAATACAAGTTTTCTTTTTATTTATTTACTTCACTGTTTCCCTGTGGGACGGACGTAAGACAGCAGCAAATCTAATCTAAATACAGGGAGGTCCAGGTCCTTTAAATTAAATTAAATCACTCTCAGTCTCAGCAGCATCACCAAGAAGAAAAAAAGACCTTTTAAAAGTAACCATGGTAGAAGTCAATGCTCAAACAAACACCAATTGCTTCATGTAAAGGGAAACACCAAATCATATCGATATGATTAATATTCACCGCTGGACCCTTGTATTAATGATTTTCAATGATTTTACAGCAAACATTCAAGCTCCCTGCCTTCTCTAGCCTCAAGAGCAACAACAACAATAAGGACCATAGAGATTGCATTTTTAGACCACATTAGTGTACTCATTATTGGTCATATACAACTCATAATAACCGATGTAAATAAAGTGAATTCTATCTGTTACATAACGTGGTTCGCTAATGTCATCGTATATTTTAATTTAGAATCCTTCAGAACCCCACATCACAAGTGTTTTGTGACTTTGGAACTTAATGGTTTACAGCCAAAAAAAGGGTTTTGCGCATTATCCTCCAAAAGTTTATTTAGCTGGGAAATGGCAATCAAGGATTATGAGCCTTCTGAATGGGGGAGGGTAAAAAGCAAGTGAGTTTTACTTCAACTTTATTTTGAACATTTGCTTACCAGGATGATAAAAAAATGCCTTGTACAAAGTAGTAATTTATGATCAACATCTCTTGCCATTTCAAATGCATATAAAAAAAAAAATTAATTATGATTTGAATTTTATTAAATAAACAAAGCTATATGGTACATTCTGTGTTACAGAATATAATGGGATATCACCATGAAAAGGGGCTTGCTCCTAGCAAAAAAATCTCGTTTTCCACATCTTTCACCCACTGACAAACCCGATTGCAAGTCTTTATTGCCAATGCCTGTAAACAACCAATACCAATATAAGTTGATAAAATGCATCTACAGATAAATTCAAATCAGCTATGACATGCTTCTCCAGAAAATAATTATTATAGCTAGCCACACACAAAAATTATATAAGCTCAAAATTCTTTTATCAAGGAAAGAAGTCCTGAACCCATTTCTGACACTGGTTCGACGAGAAGCTGATTTTCCATAAAGGCATGACTTTCTGTTTTTCACAGGCTAAAAAGTGAATGTTACCCGCTGAATCCACCTACCCTAGGTAATACATGTTACCGGGCAAACTTTTCCATAAGGAAATGTCGACCTGCGATGACACATGAATCATGCATGGTTGTGAGTTTCATGTACATTGTTGGGTTTGTTTACAATCAGTCTTCTAGTGCTCTAACATAGCCCTCTCAATCATTTTGTTCACATTCCTTCTCACTTTCGCTTTGGGGCTCGCATTATTGCAGTTGCTTCTTACTTTGCTAGCACAGTATTCTGTTTCACTTATCTGATTTCTTCTTTGTCTATGAGCATCTTTGGTCCACTAACTTGCTTTGAGGTTGCATTAGCCTTATCATAATATATGCAGGGCATCTCTTTGAGGAAATTATTTTTGAAAACCTCTGAATTAGTTCTAGTATTCTCCTTTTATATTCTACTTTCTAACCAAGAAACAGATTTCAAACCTCTTTGGATTAGCCATCATCTTTGCCCATCCATTTGTAGATTCTCTCCTAAACTACATCATAGCTCCTCCCCTAAAGATGACTGGCTTCAAATCCTTTCTACAATGGCTAACCTTGTCTTGCCCCAGTAGTTCCATAAGTGATAAACCTCATTTAGTAAAAACCCATCTCTTTTCAACTCTTCCCTAATTCTATGTTCGGTTTGGAGAAATGGTGAGAAGGGAAATTAATAAATTTGGATGGAAGTGCATGGATATTCATGGATTCCCCTTCCCTGGGTCCACATTTTGCAATTCACCCAACATGGGAGGGTTGGAGGAGAAAAAATGAAGCAACAAAACATATTAGAAGGGCTAATTATACTACTTTACGTACACTGGGACCCACAACTTTACTTTTTCATATCCTTTCCTACCCTTTTTGTCTAATAAAAACAAACAAGGCACAATGGAAGTAAAAAGGCATCAAACCTTTCCCTTTATTCTCTTTAGCAGACGTAAAAGTAGACAAGTATTGCATAGTTGAGCAACGTAAAGAAACAAGAAATCGTAAGTAAAATCATACCTTGTCTGCAAGTGGATCAAAAGCTGCATAAAGCTCAAAATCCTGGGTGACCCAACATAGTAGAACTGAAAAAAAAAATTATCATATAAATTCATCAGGAAAGCATCATGAAGCATTCAAACATAAATACGTGCAAACATGATCATATAAATTCATCAGAAAGCATCATCAAGCTTGTAAACACAAATAGATGCAATTGAAGCAAATGTCAACCATGATACACTATCTAAAATGTAAAGGGAAAGAGTACGAAAGAGACATAGTAAAGATCAAGTTTGACAAACCAGTTATGGCCATAAATTTCAAGGGCTTAAAAACAAAATTGCTAGGTTTGAAAATCCATAACTACGAAATACCTTGATTACTAACCTACTGGACGTCTGTCTTTGCAAAACTGACATCCATATTCAGCTTTGAATTTGACATGATGCAATCATTCTTAAACACCATAGTTTTGAGATGTAGCAATGAGTGCGCATCAGGGCAAAACCAAAAATTCAAGTATATCAACATGTTCCACATATGTATGAAGCAGTATGAACTTAAAAGTACCATAGTTTTCATCTCTTCGAAACTGGGTTTTGTGGGGCCCAATTCCTCGGTCATGCATGGAAGCATAAAGCTTCTGGTAAGCTCTGTATAATCTGCAAGAAGAAGAACTAATTACCTACCAAAAATGGTAGAGTGACATATGACTCCAATGTGAAGACATTCAAATTTCATCTCTTAAATGTACTATAAGATTCGGCTGTGGTACCTTTTCTGCTGACGAGGACTACTTATTGGTGGTGAGAACTCAGAAGACACATACTGATCCAAAAATATACTGCGATATATGAAATGCCAAAGTCCAGCAGGACCGCCTACGCCAATATAAGGTTCCCTGAACCTGTCAGGAGAATCTGTTGAAAGTGTGTGTTGACCCAAATGCGGAGAAAAAGATGCAGAACGTGATAAAGGATCAAGAGGAAGCTCCTCAACACGCATCCCACCATCTAGCATGGACCTCTGAATCTCACTGAGAACACTTGACTTCAAAAGGACCATTTCAATACGAATCCTATAAGATCACAGAAAAAATTATATGGGGAGGAAAATATTGGTTAATAATTTGCTATGAAAGAGACAAGATCGCCACATGAAGCACTCCTACAACGGATAATATCATTGGTCAAATTCAAACTATAGCATACCTGCAATCTTTGAGATGATAAAAGGCATCTGAACTAGTAGTAAGCAACATCAAGTATGTGTCAGCCTGCCACAAGAAAGTATATCGTGTCATGTCATCATAACTATGTATAAAAGATATATTAAGCAGATAAGGCTAGCATGAGGCAAAGTAAGTATGCAGTTAAATTTACACAAGAAAATTCATGAACCTAAGTATCACTCACATCAAGATAATTGACATAAGCATACAAAAATGCCATGGGATTATATCTAGGCAGGCAAATTGGAGAGAAAGATTCAGATGTCCTGCACAGAGACAAAAAGAGAATTTTAAAACAACTATTGCATCTGAAAGGCTCATGCCAACAGAAAAGAACAATATATATGGCTTTCGGTGTATCATCTTGTGCTTTATAACTTCGAAGCATGTATTGGAAACTAAACAGGTTTCAATTTCCAATCCCCTGTGGCTGCTAAAAGGATGACATATGACTTATCCAATTAATCTACTTACCTAAATGATTCTGATGCCATGACAAAGTTAGAAAGTAGCAGCATGTCATCAGGATGAAGAGAGGCCTTTTGAGCACCAACGAGACAGATGACCTGCAATCAATCAATTTCAAAGTTGTTAGAGTGCTAAAACTTGTAAAAGATTTTTAAATTGTGCCATGAAAAATATTTATAAAAAATGTTCTTAAAAAGATTTTCCCAAGTATAAACATCATGAAGGAGGATGGCAAAACCTTGTGTTTGCACATCAGTATTGCAAACAGAACACCTGAATCGGCAACATCTTGCAATATGGCACCTGCAGCTTGCCTTGTCGCATAAGCAAGGGGAAGACAAGTGTATGCATGAAGAAATGTGGCTGGATTCCTGAAAACACAGAAATAAGAAATAGTGTTATAAGCATCATCTGCTTTAGATTTTTTTTTTTTTTTGGCTAGGGGTGGGGGGAGGTGTGTGTGTGTGTGCGCGCGCATCACATTTTCAAGATGCGATTGACTTTGCTTATGTAACTTTCTTATTAAGTAGAATAGTAATTTTACCAAATATCTTCTTAACAGTAAATATCTCTTTATTCAAATTTTACACTCTTCATAAATATATTTTGCAAACTGAACAATCAGTTTAAAACAGATCAGGTTAGAAACGATAGTAATATTCAACAGGCAAAAGTAACCCCTTCACGGTACATTGGATGATTTATTACTGTCACTACTGGTATAGTTCATCACCGATAGAACAATATCTGTAATGCACACATACTAATTGTTCACTTGTGAATTAAACCATGAGGAACTATCATAACGGTATATTGGATGGTTTTTCACCAACAAAAAAAAAAACATTTCCCAAGTCAGGCAAGCCAAAGGGAGCAGAGAAACAAACCAACTGAAAGAATGGATGAGGGAAGAGAAGACAATATCTGTTCCTCCTAGCAAAGGTGTCATATCAAACTTCGGATTCTTCTCAAAACATCTATTTACTGACTTTGTAAGAATAAGTAGCATCTGCATCCACACATCATAACTAATTAAATAAAATGCAGTCACTAACATAAGATATTTTATTCCATAAAAAAGGAATGTACACGAAGAATGTTTAAGTTATTCAATAAATCACTAACAAAATATGACCCAACAGTGACACATAATAATTCACAAAGAATTTTGAGGAAGGGGAAAGTGCAATGCTACCTGACCATAAATAAGTTCCAACTGCATCCTCAAAGACTCATAAGGCTCCTCTGTACAGCTGATGCATACCAAGTAAATTGGTCCCTTGACAAGAAAAACCACCTGAACATCCAATCATTTGATGCCAATTTAATTTAACTGTTAGTTATAAATGTACACAGTCAAAATGATGTCATTCTAGTCTTCCAGAAAAAATAATAATAACAACTAGAAATTTTGAGGCAAATGAACATTATTTTTTAATGCTTAAGATACATAAGATGATCTGACTCAAGAAAAGATTCACTCATATCCATTCATATAACAAATTTACAAGTACAATCCAAAGGTCCCGGATGAACCCTCAAAAGACTTGGGAGAGCCGGAATCAGCCCCTGTCGGCTAAGGCTTGTTGCGGAATCATGAAACGCCACTGCTCCATGCAAGTAAGATTCTCACTCCCTCTAGGTAGATCTCACTTGATGGATTGTGTAATGAAAAGGAGGAAATGAAAGAGAGTGAGGGCTGATTCTCTAGCAGCTCCCTCTGGGCATCCAAGAAGCCCTTCTTTCCCAAGCGATTCTCTTGTGTGGCTTTAACTATGTTTACAGCATAATGAATATATCACTATGATTTCAAACTCTGCCCAAGAAAGTATTAGCATGGACTACTCAGCTACACAAGTAGTTCAAAATTAAAGTTGACTTTTTGTTCAAGGATGGTAAATAGAACTTTATAGCGATACTATAAAAGAATTTACAACCAGGAATATGAAAAGCAGTTCTTTTTATCATCCCAGGAATCAAGGGTTGTTTAAAGAAGAAATAATTTGATGAACAAAAATTTCAAGCGCAGAAAGGAACAAAGCAGACCTGATGCTTCCCGGCCCTAACCAGTTTGACATGATCCCCACTGTAAAACAATTAATGAATCACTGTAAGTTCTCTACAATGTCATTAAAATTTGTACACTAATAGTAGACACAAAAAAAAAAAAAAAAAAAAAAA